ATGAGAGAGAACATTGATTGGCCGCCTCCTGCATGCCCCCCACTGGGGCTTGGACTCATTACCTGGGCATGTGCCCTAACTGGGAATGCAAACTGGTGACCTCTTGGTGCATGGGTTGACACTCAACCAGTGAGCCACAGCTGCCAAGCTAGTTATATACTTTTCATTTTTCCTGATGATGTTTGATTTAACTCAGCAAATATATTTTTAATATTGGATATTAAGCATATTTTACATTAAAAGATATTTCTGTGGTAATTATATACAGAATAAAAACAAGAAAGTAACCTCTTCTGTTTTTGTTTTTAAGGGGAAAAATACTAAATACTTGAAATATTTCAAAGTTTTTCTAAATTACTATGTTTAATTAATTTATATAAAATAATAAATTCAAATAACTCATGATTTATATGTATGCCCATTAAGCAATAGGTCATAAAGTACAGAAAGAAAGATTATCTGAAAGTAATTTTAAAAAATGAATCAAGGGGAAATTATCACAAGAAAAGAGAATCTTTGTACTATGTCAAGTTGTTAGTTCTATGTGATCTGTACACATGTTTTTACTTCATAGTTTTCCTTTGAACACCCTAATTTAGTCTGAAGTTCAGACTAATTGAATATATGATCATTAAAAATTTCTGTATGCCTAAGGGATCTCATTGAAAGGGATATAAAACTTAAAAATAAGTAAAAGAATAATCTATTTACAACCACCACCACCTAACTACCATAAACCATAAATGCATAGCTATGGCTTACCATGTGTGGCTCACCAACTCAAGGGAAAATACTTCTCTGACATTCTGGTATTTATCAAAAACTGATGGTGTTTCTCATGAATGATAGTTATGTATCTTCTCAACAAAATAACTTTAGGAACAATTTTTCCTCCTAGTAAACACTCAATAAAATAAGATACCATAAAGAATTAACAATAATTATAAGGGTATTACGTTTAAATTTTAGTATTATAATCTTAACATATGAGAATCAATTTTAGAAACACTGTTATTATCTTACTACAATTTTTCTCATGTTGTTTGAGAACTTTTTCAAACCTCAAACTATGTTTTTATCTACCAGGATAAGATAATGGACATTTATTAAATGTAAGAATTTTGGATACGTGTGTATTTATTTTGTGTGGGAGACTGTGCATATTCATAGTGGTTATGTGTATGTATAAAACTATATGAATTATAATAAACATGATTTAAGATATAATTGTATAACTATATCAGTATATATAGCTCTGTGTATTAATGATAATGTTTAGATATGCTTTTATTTCATGTTAATATATTTTGTATTCCAAATGTAAATTTTCTTGATTTTCATTATGTGATGAGAAGTTTTCTCAATTAAACAAACAAACAAAAGAAAAACATGTCAGTACAATAAATTGGCATTATAACTCTGGGCATTGTAAACATTTGTTACATAATTTATTTTTTAGAGTGTAGAAAACAACAAGAAATAGAAATTATCAGTTATATAACCATTATTAAATTAGTTTATGTGAGCTTCTAAAATCTTGAAACTCACACAGAGACTAAGATCTATAACTTGAAATACATCTGCAATAAAATTTAAATTGATTGGAATTTAAAGTGTTTACCAGTTGAGAAAAATGCATTCCTATAGTTGTTTGCTATTTTCTTGCTGAGGATTTTGAAATATTAATGTTAATTATGAGTGGAATTCCATAAAGGAAGGGCATGCAAACAAGCCATAATGCCTATATTATGGTTTCTTACAGTCTAGTAATACTGTTTTTTCTTACATTTATTAGTAATGAAACTTGTTGTCAACTCTAATTATTTAGAGACTGTATTACATATAAAGTGTGAAGTCTTGAAGCATTGGGCAATGCAATGGCTTAGCTGGTCCTTGCCTATATGTTATTATTTATATCGATTAATGTAGGTATTAAATAAATGTTTGTATATGTACAGTTATTAGAGTGTCTACCATAGTCAGAGACCCATGAATAAAATGTATTATAATTTTAAGAATTAAAATTAATAATGCATATAAATAACCTATTATAGTATCTGCCTCATGACTGTTCTTTACATGCATTTTCCTTATTTCTCTTCATCTGCCTCTTGGATTGCCAATATATTCACATAAATAGAATTATGAAATAAGAAATAGGCTCGGGCCTTTCTTCTTAAAATAATTGGTAATAGTCAAATAATATAGGGTGGGGCAAAAGTAGATTTAGAGTTGTTCATATGGAAAAGAATACAATAATTAATACATAATAATATAAGAATAAATTCTGTTTCTCACACTTATAACTGTAAACCTACTTTTGCCCCACCCAGCATAATGGATGAAGCTAGACCAGCTAACCCATGATAACATCTCAGTCGCTCCACTTCTCAGTGTGTGACATTGAACAATTCCTTAGAATACTTTGTGCTTCAATCTCGTCACCTTTAAAATTAGTACAATTACTACCTCAGTTACTACATGTTGATCACTTACAACATTAACTGGTATATACTAAATTCTCAGTAAATGTTTGCTCACATTATCGGTTAGGCTTCTTGTGAAGAGTAGGGAAGTCATTTTATTCTATAATGTGGACAGAACAACTTTGGGACTGATGAATGAGAGTCTTTTCCCTTAGGCTTTAAAAAACATTCTTCAGTAGCCTATTTTATAAATAAAGTGGCCAATAGTAAGTAGCTTGAATATTTTCTTTGGGTAGATATCTTTGCTAAAAAGCTTATCTCAGAGGAGGAGAAATTCTGTATCAAAACAAATTCTTGACCCTGGTACAAAATATGAAGGAAATGATTCAATTTCAAAGGGCCAGCACACACCACACACTTTTGCCTCCCTATTCTCCTTAAACAAGGTGAATACAAGTGAATATACTATTAGACTAGACTGAAGAGCATAACTTAATGATAACTTAAGATTCAGGAACAGTAGAGTGCATTTATTTTATTACTTAGTGTTTGTGAATTTAGATTTGTAGGAACAAAAAAAAAGTCATTAAACTAAACATAATTGAGACAATAGATTAAAATATAGAGAATGCCCAGCCTGAACGGCTCAGTTGGTTGAGCGTCATTCGGTGTACTGAAGGCTTGCTGGTTTGATTCCTGATTAGGGCACATGCATGGGTTGTGGGTTTGATCCCTTGTCAGGTGTGTATGGAGGGCAACTGATCAACGTTTCTCTCTCTCCCTTCCTCTCTCTAAGCATGTCCTTGGGTGAGGATTTAAAAAATAATAATAGAAAAATAAAATAAAAATATAAAATAGAGGACATTTGAAAAGGAACACTTTCTGGGAAATATTTTTTTTTTTTTTTTTGTAAAAGGAAGAACAATTCAAGATGTTGAAAAAGTCTGCAATAGTATCACTGGGAAATATTACAGTGGTCAGTGTTTTTTCATTAACACTATATAACATACATTTTAGGCCTTAGATCTTTTATAATGTATTGCAATTGGTTTCTAGGAGTATATTATTTTTTTAGAGAGCCATCTTCAGAAACCAATGTCACTTAATTTTTATCAGCTCTTGTGATGGGTGACAGTACTCTCCCATGACAAATTTTGATCAACTGAACTACAAAGTGTTTTTTTTTATCCAGTATAAGTGGTTTCAAACTATGAAATTTTGAGAACTACAAAAGGCAGAATAGTGAAACCATTAACAGTATCAATTCCAGAACCAGAATTCAGCCAATTGCTACTTGTGTGACCTTGAGCAAGCTTTCTCACCTGGAGAGGGCATAAGTTTCTACATAGCTGAACTGGAGAATTCAATAAGTTGGAAGTACATGCAAAGTACTGAGAAGGAGTGCTAGAAAATAGCAAACATTCAGTCAGTATTAGCTATTACTGTATTATCTGGCTAAAGAAAAACTCAGGGATTTTTGTTTTGTTTTTATCTTATATGTATAAGAAAATGGGGAAAACAAAGGAAAGTTTTGTATTAGTTTTCTTTAAGTTGTGTTCTCCATTGAATGCAAAGAAATAAAAGAAAAAAACCACAACCCAACTCAGTAGCCTTTTCTCATTTCTCAAAAATCAGTTTCTGGTTTTACTATTTATTTTTATTGTGGTAAAAGACATAACATAAGCTCTTCCCTGTCAACAATGCTTAGATATAAATCTAACAAAATGTTTATATAAGAATAACTATAGAAGAACTAACTAAACGGAGAGATATTCTATATTCATACATTGGAAGACTCAATACTGCCAAGATGTCAGTTATTCCCACCATGATCTATAGATTCAATGTAATTCCTGTGAAAATCGCAGCAAATTATTTTGTACAGATTGATCAAGTGATTCTATAGCTTATATCAAGAGACAAAAGACCCAGAATAGGCAACACAGTATTGAAAGAGAAGGACCAAATTGAGGACTAACACTATTCAACGTTAAGTCAGACTACAAAGAAATGAACTGTCAAGAAGAAATGAACTATTAAGCCATGAAAAGGTATGAAATGACATTAAATGTATATTACTAAGTGAAATAAGGCAATCTGAAAAGTGAACATACTACATGATTGTAAATATATACATTTAGAAAAACTAAAACTGTAAGTTCATTGGTTCCTGAGGCTGGGATTGGTAGAGGGATGAATAGGCAGAGCTCAGAATTTTTAGGGCAGTAAAACAATTCTGTAGGACAGTATAATGAAAGATATATGTCATTACACATTTGTTCAAGCGCACAGAATGTACAACATCAAGAATAAATCACAGTAAACTATGGACTTTGGGTGATTATGAGGTACCAGTGTGGGTTTGACAATTGTAACAAATGTACCATTCTGGTGAGGATTATTGATAATATGGAAGGTTATATATGTGTGGGAGGAGACTGAGCATGAGAAATCGCTGTACCCATCAAACTGGCTACGATCCTAAAAATGCTCTAGAAAATGTGGTCTTAAAGAAAATCATCTCTCTCTAGAAGCTTGATGACCAGTTTGGGAATTTTAAAAATTCACTTTATTGTGCTCTCTTCGGCAACACATATACCAAAATTGGAACGATACAGAAAAGATTAGCATGGCCCCTGCACAAGGATGACAATCAAATTTGTAAAGCATTCCACATTTTTAAAAAGGCTAAGGGAATATATTAACACCAAACCAGCACTGCAAGATATGCTAAAAGGACTGCTGTACTTAGTAGAAGAAATAGAAAGAAAAATAGAACCATACTAAACAAAAATGGCAATAAATAAGTACATATCAATTATCACCTTAAATGTGAATGGTTTGAATGCTCTGATAAAAAGACACAGAGTAGCTGACTGGATAAGAAAGCATGACTCACAAATATGTTGTTTACAAGAGACCCACCCCACAACAAAACACTCATGTAGGCTGAAAGTGAAGGGATGGGAAAAAGGCTTTCAAGCAAACGGAAAGCACAAAAAAGCTGGGGTAGCAATACTCATATCTGATAGGTTGAATTCAAAATGAAGACCATAACTAGAGACAAAAAGGCCACTACATAATATTGAAAGCATCTATCCAACAGGAAGATATAACCTTGGTAAACATATATGCACAAAATATGGGAGCACCAACATATATTAAAAATTTTCTGGAGGATTTCAAAGGAGAAATCAACAGCAATACAATCATAGCAGGGGACTTCAACACCCTGCTGACATCACTGGATAGATCCTCTAGAGGAAAAATTAACAAGGAAACACACACTCTAAATGAAGCGCTAAATCAAATAAATTTAATAGATATCTACAGAGAATTACACCCCAAAACTACAGAATTCACATTCTTCTCAAGTGCACATGGGACATTCTCAAAGATAGACCACATGTTATGGCACAAAATAAGTTTCTACAAGTTCAAGAAGATTGAAATCACATCAAGCATCTTCTCAGATCAGAATGGCATGAAACTAGAAATCAATTGCAACAAAAACATGCAAAGACATTTGAAGACATGGAGGCTAAATAGCATGTTATTTTTTTTTTTATGAATTTTTATTTATGTATTTATTTTTTTGTTACAGATATTTTACCTTTTTACCCCATTGGCACCCCCCACCCCACCCCCCCTCCACCCTGTCCCCGGCTTAGTTGTCCATGTCCATTGGTCATGCATACATGCATATAAGTTCTGTGGTTTATCTCTTCCCACTCCCCCACCCCCCATCCCCTCTTCTGAGGGATGTCAGTCTGTGCCCTACTTTCATGTGTCTGGGTCTACTGTATTCCTCAGACTGTTATGTTCATTATATTCCATAAATAAGTGAGATCATGTGGTATTTGTCTTTTTCTGCTTGGCTTCTTTCACTTAGGATAATACTTTCCAGGTCTCTCCATGTCGTCTCAAAGGATAAGAGATCTTTCTTTCTTACCGCTGCATAGTACTCCCTTGTGTATATGTACCACAGCTTTTTATCCATTCGTCTACAGGTGGACACTTGGGCTGTTTCCATATCTTAGCTATTGTAAATAGTGCTGCTATGAACATGGGGGTACATATATTCTTCCTGATTGGTGTTTCAGGCTTCTTAGGGTATATTCCCAGCAGTGGGATCACTGGGTCGAATGGAAGTTCAATTTTTAATTTTTTGAGGTAGCACCATATTGTTTTCCATAGCGGCTGCACCAGTATGCATTCCCACCAGCAGTGTATTAGAGTCCCCTTTTCTCCACACCCTCGCCAACACTTGTTGTGTGATGATTTGTTGATGGCGGCCATTCTGACAGGTGTGAGGTGATACCTCATTGTTGTTTTAATTTGCATCTCTCTGATGATTAGTGATGTTGAGCATTTCTTCATATGTCTCTTAGCCATTTGTATGTCCTGTTTGGAGAGGTGTCTATTCAGCTCCTCTGCCCATTTTTTAATTGGGTTCTTTGTCTTCCTTTTGTGGAGTTCTATGAGCACTCTATATATATTGGAAATTAACCCCTTATCTGATACATCATTGGCAATGATGTTCTCCCATACAGTGGGTTGCCTTTCCATTTTGATGATTGTTTCTTTTGCTGTGCAGAAGCTTTTTAGTTTGATGTAGTCCCATGTGTTCATTTTCTCCTTTATTTCTGTTGCCTTAGGTGATGTATCAGTGAAAATTCTGCCCCGTATGATGTCTGAAATTTTGTTGCCTACATTTTCTTCTAGAATTTTTATGAATTCACGGGTCACATTTAAGTCTTTTATCCATTTTGAGTTTATTTTTGTGTATGGTGTAAGTTGATGGTCTAGTTTCATTTTTTTGCATGTAGCTGTCCAATTTTCCCAACACCATTTATTAAAGAGGCTGTCTTTACTCCACTGTATGCTCTTGCCACCTTTGTCAAATATTAATTGAGTGTATTGCCTTGGGTCCATTTCTGGGCTTTCAGTTCTGTTCTACTGGTCTATATGCCTATTCTTGTGCCAGTACCAGGCTGTTTTGGTTACAGTCGCTTTGTAGTATAACCTGATATCTGGTATTGTGATCCCACCTACTTTGTTCTTCTTTTTCAAGATTGCTGTGGCTATTCGGGGTCTTTTTTGGTTCCATCGACATATTTCATAGAACTAGAACAAATACTTCAAAAGCTCATATGGAAGCTCATGTTATTGAACAATGAATGGGTCACCAGGGAGATCAAGGAAGAAATCAAAAACTTCTTGGAAACCAATGAAAATGAACACACAACAACACAAAATATATGGGATGCAGCAAAAGGAGTTCTGAGAGGGAAGTTCATAGCAGAACAGGCCTACATCAAGAAACAAGAAAAATTTCTAATAGATTATCTAACCTCACAATTTAAAGAACTAGAAAACAAACAAAAAGAAAACCCCAGAGCAAGTAGAATGAAGGAAATAGTAAAGATCAGAGCAGAAATAAATGACATGGAGACCAAAAACACAATTCAAAGTGTCAATGAATCAAAGAGCTAGTTCTTTGAAAAGATAAACAAGATTGATGGACCCTTAGCTAGACTCACCAAGAAACAAAGAGAGAGAACCCAAATACACAAAATCAGAAATGAAAGAGGTAAAATAATAACTGACACAGAAATACAGAGAATTGTTAATATTATGAGCAATTATACGGCAACAAATTCAACAATCTAAGTGAAACGGACAAATTTCTAGAAACACATAGTCTCCCAAAACTGAACTGGAAAAATATAGAAAACATGAACAGACCAATAACAACAAAATAAATTGAAGATGTAATCAAGACTCTCCCAGCAAACAAAAGTGCAGGCCCAGATGGCTTCACAGGGGAATTTTACCAAATATTCAAAGAACTATGTGGAGAAAAGGGGACTCTAGTACACTGCTGGTGGGAATGCAGACTGGTGCAGCCACTATGGAAAACAATATGGTGTTACCTCAAAAAGTTAAAAATTGAAATTCCATTTGACCCAGTGATTGCACCTCTAAGAATATACCTTAAAAAGCCTGAAACACCAATCAGAAAGAATATATGTACCCCCATGCTCATAGCAGCACTATTTACAATAGCTAAGGTCTGGAAACAGCCCAAATGTCCATCAGTAGACGAATGGATAAAAAAGCAGTGGTACATATACACAATGGAGTACTATGCAACTGTAAGAAAGAGAGATCTCTTATCCTTTGAGACGACATGGAGGTACCTGGAAAGTATCATCCTAAGTGAAACAAGCCAAACAGAGAAAGACAAGTATCATATGATCTCACTTATTTGTGGAATATAATGAACATAATAGTCTGAGGAAGAGGGTAGCCCCAGAGACATGGAAGTGGGGTACAGACTGACAATCCCCAGAAGAGCGGGTGGTGGGGGAGAGATAAACCACAGAACTTATATGCATGTGTGCATGAACAATGGACATGGACAACAAGGCTGGGGACAGGGAAGGGCGGGAGGAGGAGGGGGTATCATTGGGAGAAAAAAAAGAATATCTGTAACAAAAATAAATAAATTCATTCATTAAAATAAATAAATAAAAACAAAAAGATTATAGCAAAAAAATGAATATGATTTATCACTATATTTATTTGAGATGTCTTTAATAGCTTTTAATAAAGCTGTACAGTTTTTCTATTAGAGTTCAACACATCTTTTGTTAGATTTATTCATAGATACCTTATATTTCTTATATTTTTGTTGCTATGATAAATAATTATGTTTCATCAAACTGTTGCTGGTGTCCAGACGTGCAATTGATTTTGTTTATTGATTTTATATTTAGCAACATCATTAAAACATTTTATTATTCCTCAAAAAAATTTCACATTATTAAATTCAAGTCACATTTAATGTGTCAAAAGTAAAAGGACATTTCTGGGTGGGTGCAGCTGAGCATATAATTATTGGGACAGTTGTTTCTATGAAAGCTACATGAAACATGTAGCATTTAAGTTGGCTCTTGAGTGGTGGGTAGTATTTTCAAGGCTATGGAAAAGATGCATGATTAAGTAGTCCAATTGATGAGAACAGTGTATTCAGAAAAGGTGAAAGAGTCATTCGTTTTATCAGAAAGTGAGGGCAGCATTGATCCGCTGTGGTACATAAATCACACATGTCATATTGCAATAGAATAGAAAAAAATAATGTGGCCCATAACAGCATTAATGTACTATTACATAATATACTATAACATAATAGCATTATAGCAATAAATGTATAAGGCAGTAAAAAGAACACTTTAAGTCTCTTGCATATCATTTTATACTCAATTATCTTAACCCTAATAATATCAGTCTTGTAGTGGAAAAATATGGCAATTATTTTTTAAAACATTTTTTATTGATTTTTAGAGAGAGAGAGAGGAAGGTAGATGGAGAGAAAAACACCGATGTTAGAGCAAAACATCCATTGGTGCCTTCCACATACCCCCTGCTGAGCATTGAGCCCACAAACAGGCATGTGCTCTGACCAGGAATCGAACTGTCAACCTTCCACACACTGGAAAATGCCCAACAAACCAAGCCACACTGGCCAGGTATGGCGCATCTTTTCATCTGTTAAAATTTACTAAGTTTTGTTGTGTGGATACACTGCACATCAGAACACACAAGCTTGGTTACTTACAGAAAACCAGTAAATGAAATGCATGTGTAAAATAGACTGGATTTTACGGTGATACCC